CCCTTTATAACCACAAGCAACACCAAAACTAACTAAACAACCTTTATTTATCCTTAAACAACTCCTTAGATTCAGATTTTAGGATTGAGTACCTCTAAAAATGAAACCCTAACACTACCCATTATTCTAAACTGTTAAATAGAGAAGATTAAAGGGTAGAATGAAGATCAAACAAGCTTACCTTAGTGATTTGTAGCCCTAAATTCATGGCTTGGGGATGGAAACTTCAAATCCTAGCAAAGCCACCCAGAAATCACACAAAAACATTCAAATCTTCTCTCAATTTGCGTTTGTCATGAACATAGACAAATAAATAATTTTCTATGTTGTGCGCCATTGTGCTTCATGAAATGCAATAATTGTATATGCACAAAAGACACTAAACATTAATGTAGTTAGTGGTCACTTAGGTCAAATCCCTAATGTTAGGTTGATAATTAATTGAAATTGATTTCTAAGTGTATAAATAGTACTAAAAGAGTTTATCTTAGTTACCTAATTTGCAAAGAATTAAAACCTAACTTGTATTATGATTTTCCAATTTTTTTTTAAAAAACAAGTGAGTGAATAAGTGGTTCAAAAATGGATGAGAAGTTATCCCTAGGAGTGTAATGGAGAAGCAATCCTCATTCAAATAATTGATTTACTAAGCAACACTCTCATTGACAAAAAAATAGTTCAAGAGCTATCTCAAACATGACAAACATAGTCACATATAATCCTAACCATTAGTGATTATGTGGTGCATCAACAAGCATCCAATGTGTTATTAGTCATTCAATTAGCAAAAGAATAGCCTCTAAATAGTGCCTAACCAATATTTAATTTCAAAATTAAACCTAATTAAGTCTTGCCAAAGCCTCACAATACAACCATACAATTGCTTAGGCTTTAAATGCTCAACAATTCAATACAACCATGCATTTAACCATTGAATTTAAATTTGGCAGCAAAATTCTAGTTATTAAGTGACAAAATAACAAGTCTCCTCATACAAAAATATCATAGGCATTTAATCAAATACCTTATGTGCAACATTACAACTTCACAAATTCAAATAGGAATAGAGAAATTGCAAGAAGAAATTAAGAGGAAACTAGAATGTAAAAGCTTAGCCAATGTGTAGCTCCCTTGAATTCAAGCTTCTTCCATCCTTCTCCTAGGAATCAAGAGCCTTAGACAAGCCTCAACATCATCTCCTAAGCACCACCCGCTAGCTCCAAGTAGAAATCCATGACTGCAACTAAGGAGAGAGGATCACACAAGCTAGAGGAGGGAGAATGGCCGAATAAAGTGCAAGATTTTGAATTGATGACAGAAAATGCAAAATGGAAGGGAGAGATGAGAGTGATGAAGCTGGACTTCAGAGGAGAAGATGATGTCCTATAATGGAAGAGAGTGGGTGAATTCCCGAAGAGGGAGAAGGAGAGTTCGATGATCAACGTGAGCAATCTTGGAGTAGCTGAGAAGTCAATGAAAGTGCGTCGCTGTGTGTGTATCCAAAATGAATTCCAAAACCTCCCTAAAATGCCTAGCACGTGATAGAAACGGTGGAATAAGAAGCAACTGTGAATGAAGTCATCCTTGAAAAGTGAATTCTAAAATAAAAATGAATTGGCGGAGCCGTGGAGGGCACGTGATTCTTCAATTCCAAAGTGAGAGAAGAGGTGATGGTAATTAAAGAGAAAGCTTACATGAATTGGAGTAATTGTCATCCTATTTTTATTTTCTGAAAATTAATTTTAGATCTGGAAAATTAACTAAAAGGTGATAATTCCAAAAATGATGGAATGAAAAATAAATTGACATGTGGAAAAATTAAAAGAGTGGAAAGTTTTAGGAAGTGGAATTAGTGAGAAGATAGAATAAAGTCTAATGGAATCAAGAATGGCCTAAGCAAAATATTAAAAATAAATGAAGAGAAAAATAAAATAAAAAGAAAGGGAAATAAGAGAAGGAAAATTTCCCAATTTATCCTCTTCTTCTCTTTTCCATGTAACCACTTACACATAAAATAATAAAATTAATAGAAAATAAATTTTAGAGAATTAAAAATAAAATTTAATAAAATCTAGAAAAATATACAATAAATCTAAAAAAATTTCCTAAAAATATTTCTTTGCCATTTTACCATAAATATTACCCATTTATTTTAAATTATACTAAAACAAGTGTTAAAAAATCTAAAAAAAGTGAGATAAAAATATAGAAATACATGAATTATCACTTACTAAAACCCAACCAATTGGGCCTAGTGCAGTCTAAAACCTATCTTGGACCCTATTTAATCGCCATACATGACTCTAAGCCCATTTTAGTTCATTATTAAGTGCTTCAACTGTCAATAAACTTTAAGTATTTTCAAACACAATTTATTCACTCAATAAAATCTCAATTTATCAATGCCCCTAATTTAATTTCCTCACATCAACCTTGACAAAAATATGAATCTTAAGGTAAAATCCTTGATCAAAATTCATAATTCTCATAATTGAATTTTTAGTCAAAGTAGAATATTACAACGAGAACTTCTTGGTTTTATAAGACTTGATGAACATGGGCATTGAATTCTTTTCTTTTCAATAATAGAGGGAATATTAGATGCATTGGGCTTTGGGCTAGCCCATTTACTATTATATTTAGTTTAGATTGTTATAACAATATTAACAATGATGAGCAAATTCATTACCTCTAATAAGGGGACAATTGTTCAAAATCAATAAAATCAAGAAAAATATTTTATAAGATAATTTAAATTGTAGTTTTAATTTTTTGTATAATTCTAAACTGTTCAAGTCAAATTTTAATGGATTAAATTTATTTATTTATTTTATATTAAAATAATAATTTTATAATATTTATTTATTATTGTAATAATAACTTTGTGGTTTAAAGATGGAAAAAGAAAGAAAATTAAGTCTGAAACAACAGAGCACTTGTGCCGAGCACCGAAATCAAGTCAAATGTGTAGTATGTAATTAGTAGCTCTAGACGACATATTCTAGTTAGCATGTATTGAATCCATTTTTAGTGCTCATAAGGGGATGAGCACTATGGTGGATTGATGCTCATTACTTTGATAAAATTTTAACAGTTCATATTTAATATTTTAAAATTTATATTTTCTAAAATAAAAATATTAATTTTTTTAACATATTTGCTTACCACCAATTGGGACAATTGATGAGTACATATTTTATAATTAAATAGGTATATATTTTAATTTAGATTTGATTATATTTATTAAGATTTCATATCTATTTAATTAATATTTTTATATTTTTATTCAATCACTTATGTAAGTATCTCAAAAATTTGAGAACTCACATAAGTGATTGGATAACTTTCTATTGTTTATATTATTATAATTTTCTTAGCAATTTACATGTTGTAATTAGCCTTATTTATGAAAATTTTTGAATTTTTTGAACTTTTTTCTTTTTTGCACTGTTTTATTTAGCTATATAATTACTAAGAGCAACTAAGTGTTTGAGAAAGAATTTAAGGTTGCCAAGACACCATAGGAGTTCATAATATATATATATATATATATATATATAATGCACAAATTATCTATCCTATTTATTCATGTATATGCTTGTAAGGAAAACATTTTGCAAAGTAATTAAATAGGAGAATGATCCTGTAAAAAAATGAAAAGAAAAGGAAAAAAAGCAAAAAAATAAAATGCCAAGTATCCACTTCGTTAATGATAACTGGGCTTAGTAACTGTGGACCTTCATCAATAATGTCAGCTTTTGTGTCAAACAGCTTAGTAAGTATCAAGAGTGTGCCAATAATGTTTTCTAAGTTTGAATAACCAGACCCTTGTATCACCAATATAAGAGTTCACATCAAAAGGACTTAAGGATTATCTAAGCAAAAAAAGCAATTCATGAATAGCTAAGAATGGTGACCCATTACACTAACTTAGAAAAAGAAATAGGTAAGGCTCAAAGGTGTAGGCAAATTCATTCTACAAATAAGTGCTCAATTAGAACTAATTAAATTCACTCCCTATGATAGTACTGGCAGAATTATTGGCTTTATTTCTCATATTGAAGATTGGTAGATTGGTTGTATGGTTAAATTTTACTAGTGCTTTAAGCACAGGTCCTGTTTTTGATATATTTATTTAAGAAATGAGGATTAAGATTTCATAACTATTTAATTAATATTTATATATTTTTATCCAATCACTTATCTGAATATCTCAAGAATTTTCTTTGAGATATTTGGAGCCAAACTACTTACTATTTAATCAAATTTATGGGTAATTTTGATGGACTGGGAGGTGAAGAGATAACCTAAATTTAGAAAATAGACATGATTGACTAGGTTATGGATAGTTCTAGAAATTTATGGTAACTTAAATTATAACTTCACAATTTAATTGGTTATTTGGGTATTGTGAAAACAAATTCAACACTAATTAAAAAAGGAATAATAATTCGAGAGAATATTAAAATACTTTAGGAATAATTGTTATTTTAATTTGATTGAAAAGTCAACTCTAATGATAAAAACTAACAACCTATAGAGTGAATCTTAAACTTTACTGTCTTATGTGATTGTGTTTTTTTATCATTATTTTTTAATTTATTTTTATTATTTATATTTTCATCAAATAATTCATTTTATCTATTTTTTAACTATTATTTATTTAAATTAGTAAAAGCACTACTTCTTTGTAGGTTCGATACTTAAAATATTTTTAGTAATTTATTATTGTAATTCGATACACTTGCAGGAGCAATCAACAATATAAATTTAAATTAAATGATTTAAATTTAATATTAAAAATTTTGATAAGCTAACTATTTAAATTTATTTTAAATGGTCTAGATTTAAGAGAGCTGGGCCTGAAGTTGTATATAGGACTCTACAATTGCAAATCAAGATTAAACGGAATAGCCCTATTGGGCTCCATTTTATTAAGCTAGCATGTATATATTTTTTATTTTTATTTACTAAAAAACAACCCTAAATCTCCTTGCTTCCCTAACGCTGTCGCTTCAGTCTTCACATTCAGACATTCAGTTCTTCACGGCTTCACCGTCACTCACCTATTCGGACTTCAGTCTTCTCCCTTTATCTTCGATATCATTCATCTCTCTTCACCCTTCAGTTTTCGCCTTCGGCTTCACCTTCATCGTCCCTTATCAGTCCGTCACGGTCACGGCATCACTCTTGCTCTTAGCTGCCGTTCACTCTATCCTTTGTTTCTGACCATAGCTCTTGTACATTAGCGATCTCTTGCTCTTCGTTCCTTGATTTGTTTCGTTGAGTCTTTCCCTCTTCACGTTGTGCGTGGTCCTGCTGGTGGAGATGGAGGTTCAGAGTCATTTTCAAGTTGACCTTGGTCACCTCATGGCGTTTAACCCTAACCATAGCTTCTCTTCTCAGCCTTCTTCCAGGTTCTGTTAATTTGTACCACTGTTCTTGTTTTCTCTTGATCTAATCCTTGCAAGTCCCCCCTTTTTTTTCTCAATTTGTTTTTTAACGGGGAACGCTGTGCGCTTTTTCTTTTTTTTTTCTTTTTTAAAAAAACTTTATAGTTAGTTTTCTTTTTTTCGTTGTCTTCATTAGTGGTTGATTGTTTGACGCTTACTGTTCGGACCCCCCCCAGCTTCTTTGTTACTTTCCTTTGTTGATTGAAAAAAAAAATGCAATCATAAACATAATTAGGCAGAGCGTCATACTGGAGCGCAGGGAAGAATTGCAAAATTGAGTGAACTGTAGGGAACTCGGGATTTCATGTGGAGAGGCGAAAGTAATTAAACTTCAATATGTTTACTGCTTATCAATTTATAATTCGTCGAAAGATGCCTTGGTTTGAAGGTTTGTAACGAAACAGTGAGTCTACGTCGTAATAGTTTATAGATTTTAACTGGCCTACTAGTCAGTTCTGATGGGCGATCACTCGTTTTTCTTCTTATCTTCTTTATTATTACATTGTTTGTATTTCCTTCTCGTGGTTCCTACTTCTTATTGGCATATGACAAGGAGGCTCATTACTTATTGCCTTTGTTGAACCTTATTATATTCAATGAACGCAGGGAGGAGCTGGTGAAGGAATGTCTGCAAAAGGGCACTGAGTTAGTTCAAGCTATTACAGATAGTCTCTTCCATTTGCCATCCACAGAAGATGTAGATGGACCGCTTGTGAAGCTACCACCACCAGTGACGCGATTGCCTAGAGAGAAGCATGTTTGTTCTTTTACTTCATATTCCAACATAGAAGTTCTTTTTCTTAATAATGTAGCTTTCTGCAATCAGACGTAAATCATATGTTCATGTGCACATTTAGCCCGAAAGCTTCACAGTTCCAATCTTTATCTGTGATGAATTGCAATTTTTCACTGCGAGGAAAGTTAACTTTTCCTAGCATGCAGAGTAGATGGATTTGCTGAATGTTCTCTAGAAAATTTTTGTAGTCACTCTTCAGACAATGCATTTTTATGTATTGACTTTTGTGACATCTAGCATTGCTTTGAAGCAACAAGATTACCTTATTAAAATTGGTTCTATGAGTAATTGTGTTGAACTATATCCAGACAAGAAAGAATCAGATAATCTATTCTTTCTGTCTTTGTTGTATTTAATTCATTAGTTTAGAAGTATATTTTCATGTACAACAACAACAAAGCCTTATCCCATTAGGTGAGGTTGGTTATATGGATGGTACGACGCTATTATACTCTATTATTAACCAAACTTTTGGGAATATTATTAAGAGGCCTTGTTCAACAATTTTCATAAAACTATGTACTTCTATATAAATTGTGTAAAACTGATCTTGTTTTAAAGAAGTAATGAAAGGAGCTTAAGTAGAGGAAATAAAACTTCATGGTGGAATGAATCAACCAGGTATTGTTTATCTTTAATTAGATTCCATGACTCTGTTATTGTGTTTTTTGGTTTTGTATTGCTAGCAAAAACATTTTTTTGCTCATGAAGTGTTATGATGTTTCCAGCTCCCAGGGCCAAAGCCTCCAACAAAATGGGAACTATTTGCCCAAAAGAAAGGTCAGTCATCCCACATACGTCTCAAACAAATTACAAGATATTTATGTGATAGAGAACTTTAATACATTGTTGTTAAATTGAGCTATCATGCTTTGATGTAGTGAAATTGGGCCTTGTTATTTCCTTATCTTAAAAAGTAAATTGTATTATGTTGCTGTACAGGCATAAAGAAGCGTAAAAAAGACAAGATTTTATATGATGAGCAGTCTGGAACCTGGAAGCGCAGATTTGGATATGATCATGCAAAAGATGAAGGGGCTATACCTATTATTGAGGCAAAACCAAATGATGGTAACTATTTTTTCTTTTATGTTGGAGGTGTCATGTAAATCACTCTAACTATATAGTCACTTCATGGTCAAATACAAGTGGGCACTGTTTTCACTTTGCTATTTGGCACCAATCTATGTATTAGAGTAATAGTTTTAATTTCAGGAAAGACATGACAAACATGAGAAAGAACGGTTTGACACTCAAGAATAAATAATTTGGAAATAATTGGAATCAGAGCACTATAGATAAAATGATAAATCATTAGATCAGAACTGTTAGTGGAATAGACATTATGACAGTTTAAGTGGTAAATCATAGGACATTTTTCTGTGGTTTGAGCTTAGGTTTTTTTAATTACGAAGTAATACATTATTACATTGCTTGCTACTGATCATTTCTAGGTTATTTTACTCCAATATAATAAATAGAAAGTGTTATTTAAGCTAAGTCACTCTGAATTTCTTCCCCTACTAACTTCTGTCAAACTAATTGTCTTTTTTCCCCAGCTGAAACTTGACTTCTGTTTTGATCACAAACAGTTATTTTCATAAGCCATCTTTCATTATGACCTTTGACTGCATAGGGTTTAGTGAATAATTATATGTTCACTTATTATTTTTATGTATCAATTTTAATGGAACATTAAATAAATATGATGTTAATATATGTTAGCATAGGTTTTGTGTTTTTTTGGTGTTATGTAATTACTTAATATCATAAATTATGCATAACAATATTTAGAATTGGAATTTATTGCAATTTCTTAACTATATGTTGTTGTGCTCTTGTTTCGTCAAGAGCTTTGATGACACTGGATCAATAAGTACTGCCTGATTGTTAATATAACATGTTTTTTGGCACACATTAAGGTCCATGACTGAAAGTTAGGTGTTGTGTAGAGCAACACATCTTATTAATTTTTTTAATCTTACATTAAAGGAACTAAGGGGCTTAATTGGTGGGATGGACTTACTGGCATAGGCTGAGATCCCAATTTTTGATAGTTGAATGGATGGGATGGGTTAGGATGGTTTGAAGGCCATTTTCACCTATCCTACATCACAATTTTAAGATCCCCCATCTCAGGGTCGGAATGGATTGAGTTCTCTCTCTATCTATCTGTTCATTTCCCTTTTTCTGAAAACCCTCAACACATGCTGATTTGGTTTGGAAGATTTAGCATCAGAAGGGGAGCATAGTGAATTTCCCTTGTCGAATCCACGTCACACCATTGATGACATTGTAATGTCTAAACAGTGGGTAGTGTTGAATTATCATCTTTTCATTCAGTCTTGATGGATGAGTTATCTCCTCCACCCCATTTGACCTCAATATGATTGATGAGCCCATTCCAGTCTCCTGTCTCCTCAAGACTCCCAATCAAGCTTAAGTTGCTGCTCAACACTAATGAGCAGTGTATAACAGTGCTGGCTATGTGTAAATGCACTAAGCTGTAGGAGAGTTCCCCACTTCCCCTCTTACGACAAACACTGAATTTACATCCATTAAAGCAAATTAAAGAGTTAGGTATCAATTAGTTGAGCTATATGCCTATATCATAAATTATGTTCATTTTAATAGTGTCATAATCTTAATGATAGATCAGACTTGACTGCTGACCTGTTTTTTAGTTTTTTGGTCCAGCCAGCCATTAGAGTTCCTACGACCCTTTTTGAGGGTGGTCTATTACGTATTCTCAAGTATAAATCAAACTTCTTGCATAGTTTGATATTTGCTAAGTTGATATATGTTTCCCAAAACATTGATTAACATGATTTAAATATCTTATTCACTTCTATTTTTAAACCTTATAATTGATGCCCTACTATTATCTTATTTTCATATGTCTAATTATACATGCTTGCTCATGCGTGTGCTTGCTGCTATTACTGATTTAGATCTTAACATTTTGCAGATCCAAACGAAGATCCCTTTGCCAAAAGAAAAGAAAATAAGAAGAAAAGAATTGAAAAACAGGAAAGCAATAGGCTCAAGAACTTGAAACAAGCTGCCAAAGTTGGTGCTTTACCAAGGTTTTTCTCTAAACTTTCAACCAGTTGAGGTGTTAATAGCACAGAAATTCAGGACTCTTCATTTGGGGGAAAACATAGTAGTTGCTGCATACATCTTCTATTTTATGCCTCATTGGCAGTATCCCACTTATATTCGTTTCTATGATAAAATTCTGTTTCTCATCTTGGCTATATAGTTTGCTATAGTAAAATTCAGGTTATCTTTCTAGCAGGTAACCTGATACTATCAGCTCTAAACTGATAATCTTACAGATCTGTTAATTGTTGGCACCTTAACTACTTACTGCTCAATGCATTTCTTTTTCCTCCCCTTCCCTAAATCCTATTTGTCTTGCCAATCCTCCGACTTTTGAGAAACTGAGTTACTTCCTGTGCAGCCATATTCAACTGGCTGCTACAGCTTTGCCTATTACTGGAACTCAAGCAGCACTCAAGAAAGTCACCAAGGATGAACTGGGTAGTGTAGCTGGATTGGCAGCAACTGCAACAGCTAGTGGTGGGAAATTTGACAAGAAGTTGCCGGGTGAAAAGGCTGCACCACATAATGGCAAATATCGCAAGGTTGTCTGCTTATCCTCTTGCATGATACTACATCCATTCTTATTTATAAGTTTTACTTCCTCCGGTCTCTAGTATAGGGAACTTTCCAGAAGGATTATTGGGTCCTTAATATAAGGCACACAGGGGGTTAGTTATTACCATTTTTAAATTTTACCTTCACTGTAAATTCAATTGTATGGCTCATCATATACTGTGTAGTGTGTATCTCTCTTATTTGAAACGGGATAAAGTTGGAAAAATTATTCATTTTAAGACATATTTAATGAATTACCTGTCATTCCTTGGTTTCAGTGAAGTAGTCAAGAGTGCCTTATAAATCAGAGGGACTACGTTCTTTTTATGTTCTTATTTATAAATCATTTTGAAATATCTATGAAGCAATTTAATTTTTTTTTTCCAATAATACTATTGGTATGGATATTGTTGAATAATCATGGTGGAGGGATTGAGAGAGATGAGTATGATTGGGGTATGTTTTATTTATTTATTTTTTGTTTGGAAAATGGGGTACATAAACTAATTTTAACTAACTACCTCAATTTATGTTAATCAGTTAAATGTGACTTATAGATAAGAATGGAGGGAATAATATTTTTGTGCTGAAGCTTGTATGTTACTGAAATGGCAAATTATTGTGCTTTGTTTTATTTTGTCCAGTTCCTGCCAGTTGTGGAAGGATCAGGGGCTGGATCACGGGAGAAGGAGCAAACTGAGAAAGTATTGAACAAGATTTTCTCCAAGCATTCCCATGAAATTCTCAATGTTGACAAGGTATGCTTTATTATTCATTTAATAAGAAATTCTTGTGCGGACCTGGTACACCTGTCATTCATGGTTTGTCCAATAAAAACATGCCATGTTAAATGGTAGTAAATACAAGTTTATTCTGTCAGTGATGATGAGAGAGAGAGAGAGAAGACAGGAAAAGAAATTCCAAAAATAAAGTCATTACAAATAGTAACACGAGATTTTATTTGATTGAATTGGTACTAACATGGTGTTTTTTGTTGAATAAACCATGGGTGACATTATGAATTCTATACATGAATTTCTCTTCATTTAATAACTCTGTATCCGATTCTAACTCTGATTTACTTTTTTCTATTAAATTGTGTTATTTTGGAAACTAGGCTGTCAAGACATACAATATGAAGAAAGAAAAAAAGCAAAGAAGTGAGAAAGTGAAAGCTGCTCGGGCAACCGGTGGCAAATTGAAACCTCAGAAAAAAATTCAGAAGCCTTCTAAAAGGGGAGGTTCCAAGAAAGGAAAGGAAAAATGAAATTAAATTTTGGTTTCAAATATAGTAGTTGGCTCTACGTTTTGAAACTTTGGTTGTTGTTTTGGAGTTTTATAGGAAGAATTCATCTATTAAAAATATAGTTTCTATTAATTTTTCATCCACCTGCCTACCTCTGGGTGTGATTGCTTTCTATTCAAGGATCGTTAGAAATACTCGATGCATAGATATATGGGAAAGAAGCCATGGATTCATTTATTGTGGTTTTTGTTTCTTCTCCCATCTTACCGCATTTCAGTCGGAGAAAAAGAGCGGGCAAGTTAAATTTAAGTATTTCTTATTTTTTGAAAAACATTATTAATGACAACTTGAAATATTAAGATGTTTCATATTTTTAAAAAATGACTTCACTAGAGTAAAATATACCGGCCTTTAATTATTGAGATTGCCCTTGTATTCCAAAACTCGTAGCTCCTTCGGGCAGGTTGTCCGCAAATCTAAAACTCAGATTTGTTTCTCTCGAAATGTTGACACTTGTGTGGCAAATAATTCATGTCTCAAGCTGGGTTTTGCACGTACCAACTCACTCGGAAGATACTTGGGAGTTCCAATGATCAATGGAAGAGTTACCTCAAGAACTTTATCATTATATTCTGAAAAGAGTGCATCAGAAGCTTGCTAGTTGGAAAAGTCTGTGTGTCAATCGCAGGGCGCATTACTCTTGCCAAGTCTGTCCTTGCCTCAATCCCCCTTTTACACCATGCAGAGCGCAATGCTGCCTTCATCATGCTGTAATGAAATTGAGAAATTCATCCAAAAATTTATTTGGGGCTATTCTGAAGATCAAGGCATCAATCTTGTGGAAGGGGATGAATTGTGGTAACCTTTGGCCAATGGTGGTTGTGGCCTTCTGAAATTGGAGGCTCAAAACAAAGCTTTTATGGCTAAACTTGCTTATAAAATTGTCTCTGAACCAAATCTACTTTGGATGAGAATGCTTAGAGGCAAATACTGGCTGTATGATAGAGGCATAGAGCTCCCAACGATATCAGCAGGAAGAGATCTTCCAATCTTTGGAGGAACCTAGCGAAGATTTAGCAAGATATCATGTTCCATGTCAAATTGAAACTGGGTAATGGTAATGGGATCAAATTTTGTTCGGGTTATTGGATTGGTTATTTAGGCCCATTAAGTTATTTATCTTGTGCAAGGTATCAGCCAATGATCTGCTTAGGCCCATTTCTGGCTGTGTTGATGAGATTAGGCAATGGAAATGTTCCTTATTCCAACATCCCCTGCCAGATTCTGTCCTTATGGAAATGAGAAGTAACACTTGAGACCAACAGTCAAGATGAACCATCCTGCTTTTGGCAGCTTAGTGCTAATGGTAAGTTCAGTAAAAAGTCAGCGTATAATGTTTCTGAATCAACTGAGTGGAATGATGTTGCACCAATTTGGAGGAAAGTTTGGAAACTTCTTCTGGCCCAGCAGGCACGAGCATTCATGTGGCTCCTTTTCAAAGGCACGAGCATTCATGTGGCTTACAAAATACTGAGATTTAGTAGGAGGATGACATTAGACCCAAAATGTGCACTTTGCAATGGTCCTCAAGAAGATATCAATCATGTTCTCAAACTGGCCTCTGCAATTTGGAAAAAGATCCTTCCCTTAGACATGGAGACTGACTTTTATGATAAGACTATTGATGTTTGGGTGGCTGACACACTCATGAATCCTCGTGTTGATGTTTCCTGAAAGATTGGCACTACTATTCAGTGTTGGAAATTATGGGATGCATGGAATGGCAATATTTTTACTTATAAAATTTCCATTGTAGATAGCATTTTAGCAAATCTTAGAGCAGTAGTTGATCACACTATTGTAGCATTTAGATGTAATTTGCCTTTTGTTTCGTTTCTGTACAGCTTGACTTACAACTTTGATTAATGAAATTCACACACACACAGGTGCGCGCACGCAGAGACACAGAGAGAGAGAGAGATTCTACTTTTAAACTTTACATAAAACTCTCTCAAAATAAACAGAGAGAGAGAGAAAGAGAGAGATTCTACTTTTAAACTTTAAATAAAACTCTTTTAAAATAAAAATTTACATAACACTAACGTTCTATTTTAAAGATTTTATTTTTATTCATCAAATCGTTAATGAATTATTAAATCATATATTTTAGATTAAAATAATCCTCTTTAACAAAAACGTTATTCAAGAGTCATTTAAATTTTCAAATGATAATTATAAGTTGGCAAAAATAATATTAAATATCAATCAATTTATTTATATAGTATATAAATTTAAGAGTCATTTATATAATCTTATTTATATAGCAATTTTTTGGAGCTTTTGCATACATAACTCATATCATAAGGTCATATAAAAGAAATAGCTTATCCTGTTTCACATTAAAAAATTACTTTTTTAATATTTAGTTGATATATAATTTACAAAGCTGCCTTTTTAAAATTATAACACTTTAATTTTTGCAAATACCAGAACAAACTCAAAATGCGAGAAATCAAGCGAATGAGAGAGACAAACGCCAGCTACAATCATGACGGAAGAAACAAGTAGATCAGACTTGAAGATGGAAGAAGCAAAGCAATATGAGCAAGCCACAGTCATGACAGCGAGAGACAAATGTGAGGCGAGAGACATTGATGGAATGGAGCACACTAGTGGGGAACTAAAGCTACATAATTTTTTGTAGACTGTGTTGATTCGTTTTGAGCAAATGATTATGTGTTTTTTATATTATTGATATACAATACTACATCATTGATTGTCTAACTATATTGATTTACAAGAGCATATTAGTGATATACTATTATATATTACTGATACACTATTGTAAATTAGAAATAAGAAAATAACATAATTGTTTGGCCAAAATAGATTAAACTAGGTTCGTAAAAAAATTTTAGACACCTTGGCTTATCACAAAAAATCAAATATCTAAAATAATAAAATAAAAATCATGAACAATGAGAGAATAATATGTGTTTTCTATTAGTAATTCAACAAAATTTCATGATTAATGATAACAAATAATAGGTTATGAACAAATGATTTATTGAGTTAGTGAAGATATTACCTAGATAAATAAAAATGATGAAAATTTGATGATAGATAATACTCTTCAACTTTTAGAAAACATAATACAGGATAAATTCAATTCGAATCTTCAACTACGCAATGTAAAATGTGAAATTTGATGTTGGGGTTTAGTCTTCAATATCAAATCTTAGCTTTGTAATATACCTAGGAAAAATAGAGAAGGAGAGAGAAGAACGGCATTAGTATGAGACTTCCTTCCCTTGCAATGAAAGAACGATTGTAAATGCATAATTCAATCATTTAAATATTAATTACAGGAGATATATTATGTTTTAATAATATATTTATTTTGAGGATTAAAAAAAATTACATCTAATTGATTTTATAAATAGGTCATATTTTAAAATATTCAAAAATATCATCTATAATTTATGGGAACTTTATTTTTTGAGGTTATTGAGCTAATTTATTCTATTTTTTAAATTTAAATATATAAGTTGACAAAAATAATATTTCAGACATGTATGAATAAATTTTAATATAAAGAGAGATAAATTAATCAATATAATTTATATTTATTTTATTAATTTTAATATAATTCATGTTTCTTGAGTTTATTATTTTTATAAAATGCCAATGAAAATATAGTAAAGCATTTGAGAATACAAAAGATTTAAAATTGGAGGAGAGGGAATATAATAGAATATGAGGGCATATTAAATTTTAATTTTTTCCCACAGATTTTAATTAATATAATAAAACATTTTAAAATCTTAACTGAAATATTTGTAACGGTGGATTAAAGTATTTTGAAAATAGTGACGAGGCATTTTCATGGTCTGATTGTGTTTTTCCCCCTAGACTCTTGGGTGACTTGCCCTAGCTTCAGGCATTTAGACCTTTGAAATTTATACTCGACAATTGAGCTTCTTACTAGAATTTTGGATTGATTTCCTGCATACTAAAAGTGCCTTATTATATTTTGACATTTATTTCTATAGATATTTGGCATCAACAAAACGGCATCCAGTTTGAATTCTAGTTTATCCAAATGCTAGAGAAGGAGGAGGTTGAAATAAATAGATTAGGAGTATAATTAAGATATGTCATTTGTAAATGTTGTGTCCATAAAATTGTTTCCATTTGTAAAGCATACATGATTATGTATATACATATTTTAAGATATAGAAATTAACTTCTTTATGACTATTATTGTACAAATTACATGAAATGATAAATGAATATTCGAATTCAAAATCTTGCTTCAAGTGTTATTTTTCTTATAAGGGATGGATATTCAAATTTCCATTCCATATATCCTAAAATTTTCAGTCTTCAAGTTTTGTATTAAAAAGGGATATTTGAATATTCATTATGGATATTTGAATATAAGGTGCATTATATGTAAAATTTTGATATCAAGATTTTCATTTTCATGATATACAAAAAGCATATTCGAATATAAGATGCATTTCATGTAAAATTTTGATCACTAAAATTTTTTTTTCCAAAACATAATTATAAGTGATACTCGAATATATGAAAAAAAACTTACATATCATTAAAGATTTGTTGTGTATTATTGAAGAAAGGCTGCATATGCTTTCAAAGGTAATCTATAGGGGAAATTAATATGGGATATTCAAATATGCATAATTGATATTCAAATATATGGAAGAAATTTACATTTCATTGAATATTCATTGTATATCGTTGAAGAAAAATTGCATATGCTTCCAAAGGTAATCCATAAGAGAAATTAATAAGGGATATTCAAATATGAATAATTGATATTCGAATATATGGAAAAAATTTGCATGTTGTTGAAGATTCGTCATACATTGTTGAAGAAAGGTTACATATGCTTTTAAAGGTAATCTATAAGGGAAATTAATAAGGGATATTTGAATATCATGTTGCATATAATTTTGAAGGTAATCCATAAGGGAAATTAATAAGGGATATTCAAATATACATAACTGGTATTCGAATATATGGAAGAAATTTGCATTTCGTTGAATATTCATCACATATCATTGAAGAAAGGTTGCATATGCTTCCAAAGATATCCATAAGGAAAATTAGTAAGGGATATTCAAATATGCATAAGTGTTATTTGAATATGTGAATGTTTTCTTGCATATAATTGAAGTTCAAATGCATATAATGAAAAAAATAGCTGCATA